ACGCCCGCATAGTCTTGCCCCAGGCGCTGCACGTCAGAGGCACCAGCTGAGCCTTCTCACATCCAGGCCAAGCACCTTGTTTCCGGAATACTAGTTCGTAGACGTAACTGTCTTCGCCGCCTACAAACACACGCCCACACGCACTCGTTGCCAGCTTCGTAACGTGTATGTCTGTGATGGGAGGCGTGTAGAGGGGTGGTTAGGAATGGGAGAGAGAGAGTGGAATAGTGTAGATAGGCGTATGGTAGTGATAGTTAAGGATAAACGGCTCTCTGGCTGGCACGCAGAGTCTGCAAGCAGAGATACGAGGAGAACTGAATCATTAGCCTATAGCATACACCACACGACCCTTACCACAGACTTACCACGTGCATACGTACAAAACGTGTGCATGTAGGCCAGTTTCAGAACTAACCACGTATCAAAACACCGTCTCGAACGCACAACGATACGATAGGTACCACAGAAAGCATGAGTGGAGACTGTTAGTGATTGTATAGACATGTAAGGTTGAGATATAAGTCATGCGTTCATATTGAAAGTGCACGTTAGCAGCGCTCCTTTTTGTATGTACGATACTATGATAACACTAGACGTATCATACATAAACACATGCATGATTTACTTGTGCGCTCATACAAAGCATATATATATATAACTATACATATATATATAAATATATGTATATGTATATGTATTTGTAAATATATATATAATATAACAAAATAACAACCAATCGAATCATATAAATACCTCTCAAAGGCACCACAAAGGGTGTGGGGGTGACCTGAAGCAGCCCATTCGTATCAAAAGCACAATAGAGCACTAACATCTCCTGCTGTGTGTACAGTACCAACGCATGCACACGCGCTGAGCCGAGTGTGTCTGTGGCGGTGTGTAGGCAGACCACATCGATAATGGCATCATGCGTTCCCTCATAGTAGGCTATTTGGTGGCTGTGAATAGAAAGACGAAAAGATGTATGATATATGTGTATATGTATCAGGATAGTTGTATATGTTATATGCGTACGTGAATAAGGATGGATATGATGTGTATGTACGTGTACAAGGATGTATATAAATGATGTATGTATACATGTATAAAGATGCATACGATATTTGTATACGTATTTAAGGATGTATATATTATATGTGTAAGTAGAAAGACGTATATGTTGCATGTGTATGTATATGTATGTGCATGTATATATTCTACATATATGAAGTATACGTACGTGTATAAAGACGTATATGCTATATGTGTACCTGTATGTGTATTGCACCAAGCAAGACAGGGGGTCTATTTCACATGTGCATGTGCTGTATACATATACAGACGCCAACACCTATATTTGTATACCTACCCTTATGAAAGTATGCAAGTATGAAAGTGTCCCAAAACTCATCATAGAGTACCTTAGAGTAGCATGCCAATATCCACACGCACTTACATACGACCTGAAACTTCATATACGAGATTCGGCTAAGAATATATAATAGGTAGCAGATATTCTTAGCTGAAGTGCAATGAAAGGAGATGAACCCTAAACCCTACACCACTATAACATCCCCAACTGTGGAGAGTCAGAAACCCAAAAACTCACAGATACATCAAAGTCAGCATTGAACAGCAGATACCACAGACATATTGATATATATATATATAAATACGTACATACATATTCTCTTGTATTTGTATAGGGTAGGGCAGGTCGCACCGTGATCCTACAAAAAAAAATACACAGAAAAACTCTCATGTTTACACGCACTGATATTTTAACCCACATACACAACCGCACCCACACTTTAATACTCAAGTTCCACTAAGGCCATACACTTACGTTTTAAGATCCCAGAAAACTATTTTGTTATCAGTGACGAAATAAGCTTGGTGGAGGAATCCGACCAATCCCACGTTCAGATCGCTGGGTTGTTCGACTTCACCACCTATACCGAGATGGTGGGATGACGTTAACGTTTTGTAACTTGAGACTGTGCTGTATGAATGGCACTGAAATATGTGCATGTAAACCGAGTGGAAAAAAGGTAAAAGAGCGGGTTCTGAAGGAGCAACATAAGTGTAGGTATACCCGGATGTGAGTGTGGATGTGCGCATAATAACAAAGACGAAACTGATTCTGAGATTTTTACACAAATATATAATAAGATACGTACAGCAGCATATTCAGTCAATACCCTTACATATCTATAAACCCATGGCAATTTAGGCCAATTCATTGAGTTCGCTCGTATCGTGATTAAGAGTAGTAGAGTGTTCTAGACTAATGTATTGTAGAGTGACGTGTCCAAATACATGTATATATATATATATATATATATATGTAATCTATCATCTATACACTTAAAACAACACACACACACACACACACACATATATATATATAAATATATATATATAAGTAGTTTATCATCTATACACTTAAAAACAACATATATTAATATATATATCCATATATATATATATATACCACATACCCGCGGCTTTAAATAGGTCGAGGAGTTCCTTTGGAAACGGCTGAAAATCCGTAACTGAGAACAGCGGATTGGCATCAGTCGCCTTAACGGCACGCTTAGTCGACACTGAGTGTATGATATTTCCATAGATAATCAAATATTTAGTGGGTGCAATATAGTCCTAAAAAACGGGAGTGGGGCAGGATACTTCTGGATTTTCCTGGTTATTGGAATGTATGCTTTCACGAGCATTGTTTGGTATTTTGCAAAGGCACGTGCGGATCACTTAGCTGTATACTGGTGAATATATATATCAATATATATAAGGGTTCAGGGCTTTATTTTATAAGTATAAATGTTAATATTATATATATAAATAAATATATATATATATATATATATATGTAATACACAGACACCCATACACACACACACCCACCACACACACACATGTATATATATATATAGATATATACACACACACACACACACACACATATATATATATATATATGTATATACATACATACATACATACATACATACATATATATATATATATATATATATATATGTCGTCCAGATGATTTCAGTAAATACTATCAGCAAGAAGATGACCCTTGGGCTTGTTTTAAGTACATATTCACATAAATTGTATCAAAGTCGCATTTGATTATGTTCTGGCCAGTTTGATGAGTTTATGGACGAAAGCACGTTCCTATTTATGATGATTTCGATTCACGTAGGTATGCCGCGTGTTCGACACATGTAACTGAAGCCTATACAGACAAACACTACAATGAAAGCTAGAAGGAAACATATATATATATATATATATATATATACATATATACATATATAAATATATATATAAACGCAGGCATATTTCCCTGCGTCAAACATGTGTACACGCGCAAGAGCGCAAATTCATCGAGGTCATATAAATCGAATAAGCCATACAATTCAATTGCACACTCCAATATCAATACAGTTATATGATATAGAAATAGTGAGTACTCCACAGTAGTTGCAAAGAAATATTAACACGTCTCACTATACGCACGGACGAGCAATACCTCATCACACGATAGACTACTAACAACACATACATCCAACAAACAACAGCCACACGGCACTAATCACACACACACACACACACACAAAAAGGAAGGGTAGTAATACCAAAGCACACACCACCACATTAAGATGGTAGTAATAAAACACACACCACCACATAAAGATGGTAGTAATAAAGCACACACCACCACATAAAGATGGTAGTAAGAAGCACACACCACCACATAAAGATGGTAGTAATATAGCACACACCGCCACATAAAGATGATAGTAATATAGCACACACCACCACATACCTGCTCCTAAGGTGGGTAGTATATCCGCCACTGCCTGGATGGCGTTTAACCCCGAGGCTGTCCTAAAGGGTTCGTCACCATCTACGTACTCATCACCACCCCAGGCACGGATGGCATCTAGGGCGATTGATTGTGATTTGAAAAGGGCCATATTTATGGTAGATTTACAGTATGAGTAAACACTTTATCGTTGATTATCCCCCATATATGTATATAGATCCACTATAGATATATATATGAGATACGGCACCTTGTGAGTAGGAGATTGTTTCACACAGTTCCCATTCTACTCGCGCGTGCACAGAGCATGCACGCGACGATACAACAAAATTAAGTAGACTATCTAATATCAACTGGAGAAATAGTAGCGAGCTTAATTATGAGTGCGCCTATATCACGAGGGTATACATCTATATACTTCGCTCAAAGTACACACGCGTGATGTTGATCCATACAAAAGATGGCTATATTTCAATCAGTTGTCAATAAAGCTATGATTTAATATACAAATATCTATACCAAATGTACTATGTACATGGCACATATTTCAACTGGGCAGAAATGAGAAAGCAGTGATCCTGGAGATTTGAAATCATGGCGCCCGCGGTGTTCTAAAAATAGAAGTATACTACACCGGGCCTAAGCACCAATCGCTGCTATGTCGCCCAAGCGATGGCAAATCATATGCGGCAGGAGAACTGACATGTAAATATTTTATACATAAATATTATGAGTGTATCTATTGTCTCCAATCTCCAATCTTCCATACATGTGTATAGTATATGTAGATGTAAAGCATGTACAAAGTCTCAAACCGGGCTTGAGATTAATACAATCGTACGTATGTATCTATATATTAATATTTTATAAGTGGCGGTCAAGCTCGGATTGTACACACAGCGAAACCCATCGATACATGGTCGTTCTCTCGAAACCCGCACTAACGAACGTCGCATTGGTCTGAGTACATTATAACATCACTTCGCAAATATGGAGGATCCGTTACAGCAGATGATTGCGCACACCACAGCTGACACAAACTATATGGCTACCGCTGTGGACACGATTGAAAATTTCACGTCGGATACATCCACACAGGTACCGCTTTGCTTTCATATATATACAATTTTAGTACCTATTTCACATGTTC